TGCTGGGTCACCCTTCTTTGGAATGGGAACAAATATAGATCTCTTCCAGTCAGTTGGCCAAGTGGTTGTTCTCCAGATTTCTTGGCACAACTTGGTGACCACGTCCAGGGCAGCATCTGGGGAGCTCTGGTGGCCTAGTGGCAAAAAGCTGCACTACAATCCCAGAAGTATGAAGTTTGAATCCACCAGATGCTCTGCCCCAGAAGGAGGGGCAATCTCCTCCTGTACCAGTCAGAGAAGACAGTTGGAGGACTGCAAACCCAGTGAGAGGCCTAAGTGAGGATCAACAGGGCTTTATTGTCACAACACAAGGAAAGTGGAAATGTAGTTCTGTTAACAAAAGCAAACCTAGACTGAGAGAGGTTTGTTCTCTTTCAAATGTTTGTGAGGATAATCTTGCAGACAACAGATGTAAACAACAGGAGCATCTGTCACTATCATGTCCAAAAGGCAGAAATACTTGGTAAGACTTAAAGCATATTAGTTATAAAGTTATTGTGGAATTCACCTGTTACTCACATCAGTAAATATTTCATTTTCATCACCCCTATCCAATTACCAACTTGATGGTATGTAACAAGAAACCCAGTAACCACATTAACTGGGCTATGTTCTTTGGATTATAAATTACATAAGGACATAAATTTTAACAATTCTGTCTCATTCATAATAGTTTCCATCTCAGAGCCAATTTAAAATAAAGATTCTCAGTTTGACAGGTGGGGCTTAAAGGTTGACCCTGTTCCAAAAAGAAGGAAGTTTAAGTAAGATCCATTTGCCAACACATGGAAGCATCACGAGGAAAATAATCCTTGCTCATCTAGCCTTCATACATTCTGTGTCCCAGTTACTAATGAATGTCTGCATTTGTTTCTTCTCTTTATGAGTCTGCCACATTGGCAAATGTAGGTCTTGAAATGGCTCAAAGCTTTACTCCATCCACATAACTAAGGTCGATGACCCTGAGGAAGCAGCTCTTCCCTCACTGTACTCTGCACGCCTGCCAACCTGTGCAGTTCATCTACTGGCTCTATAATGGACAATGATTTTCTGTTATTTATAAGGTTTTCAAGGGCACCATACTTCAGAAGTGGGAGGCCAGTCCTACGTCTTACCTAGTCTGTCTTCCTAAGGAAGCTCTGCTGAAAGCTGTATACCGTGGGTGACCTTGCTGGTATTTAAAATCACTAGCGGAAGACTCATCAACAACCTGTGATATGCAGATGACACAACCTTGTTGCTTGAAACGGAGGAGGACCTGGGGTGCTTGTTGCACAAAATCAAGAACTGTAGTCTTCAATATAAATTGAAAGTCAACATCAAGAAATCAAGGATTCTCAACACTGGGCCAACTGGCACATGATAGATGGCGAATAGATTG